TAATTTCCACCTAATACTGACACAGTATGGGGTTATTTCATGCCAGTTCCTCAGTGTGGGATGCTCAATTTTCTTTACAGAAACTGAAAGGATTTCACACTTAATTCAGCACACTGATATCACTGCTATAACCACATCCACACCACCTGGCTCTGCACACCACAGATTCACCTCTGGCAACGAATCATTGACAAACTGCATCCCACCATCCTGTCACTCACATCCGCCATCATCTTAGATAACACACCTGAACCATTACTCATCAATTCTCTTATTTATCCTCAAGAGAGAGAGAAAAAAAACAGGAAAGCAAGAAACTAACCAATGAAAACTTTAACCAAAACAAAACAAAAAAAACATTGAGGAGATTGTATAACTTCAGTCATGCTCCTTAGATGTGACTGTGTTGGAGTGTGAGGGGGGATGAGTCATGATCTGTGTAACGAGGTAATGTGAGTGTGTGTGTCTTTGCAGCATGATGTCACTGAACTGAAGCTATGTGTCATCAAGATCTCAGTGACCTGGAGGAAACCCTGATGAGAATACCAGGATGATGAGACCGTGTATCCGGAAAAAAAATAAACAAAAAAAACACCCACCACAGGAACTTTGGAATCCTTTTTCTTTTGGATGGAAACGAGTTCTCCAAATTATCTCTTTATCTGTTTGAGATTAATGACTTCCCATGAACGACCATGCGAAGGATTATACTGTACTTTTTTCTCAAGAAAGATATACAGTAGGGTGCACAACACTACAGGAATCAGAATCAGGGTATATAACCAAGTTTTACACATCCAAGCAATTATTTTTGATCCTTTGGACAAAAAACTTAGAAGTAGAATATGAAATGAAAACTACACACAATTGTTTGTTTATAAGGACAGTGCACATGATAAGTGCCAATGTGAATATACTGGAATATAATAGTTATATTTCATTGGTAGTTTCAGGCAGGTACTTACAATGACATTAAACCAGTTATAAGACTTTTATAAGCCACCTAAGGGTACAGTCTACAAGACAGCACACAGTTTTATATACAGCATGGTCATATTCTTTACATTACAAATAATAGAGCCATCATTGTTTCCACGGTAACACGTGGTTGATCTAGAGTTTTTTTTTTTTTTTTTTTTTTTTTTTTTTTGAATTATTTGACTTCATATGCAAATCAAAACAAAGCCTCGTTCACCTCAATTGTCCTTTTAAACACATTTAATGATGATAACAAACCTGAATACAGACTCACAGCAGAGAAAGGAGGACCGGCCGGGCAGCAGAAAGCGATTGTGCGAGTCATTCCAAATTGAAGTGGTGATGAGATCATACACTTTGTTTGATCGACAGTTCTGTGGGTTATCAGTGAAACATAAGAACTGCATTTCTGACTTGAGTCTCTATTTACCATATAAAAAAGACCAGTAGCGTGAACACACAGATCCCTGTTGTGAAACGTGTGTCTCCTCACTGCGCTGCATCATCATAAATGCGCATTCTCCAGATCGAGGGATTCATAGCATGCGGAGTTTATGCATTAAAATGGGGCCATCTGACTTCAAATCTGTCACTTGAAAAGTTTGATTTCTCTGCCAGCCGGGAAAAAGTTTATTGTTTTGCACTATGTAAGCTGTTCATTGTAGTTTATGTAAGGCAGTAAGGGTAGGTCTAAACATAAGCTCATGTGCTTAAGTTGGGGTGTGTGGTAACATGTAAAATTGCATAAAGTTAGAATGTGGTTGTGTGAGTGATCCTGTGTTAGAATCTATAACATTGTGTTGGGAGCCTCGTATACGTAGTGGTGATAAGTGATGAGCTGGATGAGCTCAGATAGTTTTGGCTGTGCAGCAGGGGTGGATCATAGGGGGTTGGTCAGGGTGGCCTGGGCCCCCTAGAAATCGGATGCCCCCCCCCCACCCCCACCCAGAATCTAAAATGAACTATTTGGAAATGTGTTGCATCAGTCTGCTCGTAGATTTCTTTTGGTTTCAATGTGGCACATTTCAGGTATTTTACAAATGTGAAGGAGCAGTATGTAACTCTTGACACGAAGCGTTTAAAATGGGTTCTGCAGTCCAAATTCAAAACATTAGAGAGAGCTGTCTCCCCCTTGCTTCCTCCTCTCTAGAGTCGATGCTCACACGGGTTACCACATTGCAGACACTGAACCATCAGTGTTTAGCCAGCTCTGCATCTGTCTTGAAACCTTGCTCGTTCTTACCTCTGTCCATTTTTCCAAAGCAACTCCAATATTTACCCTACTTTTACATTTCTGGTTGTTATGCTTGTTAGGAAAATGTTGAGGCTTTTTAGGTCGGGTAGAATCAGTTATATCTGAACCAGTTGGCTTGGCCTCTTCCATCGCTGCAACACCTGTTGGGCTGCTGTTTGCTTGAACAGCCATGTGGGTCTGCCTTAAAACCACCTGCCTTCTCTGGTCAAAACAAAAACAAATCATTCCGGACTGGAATCGAAATTGTGATTAATTGAGGTTAGTCACAGCTTCTACTGTGATTAATCTTAATTTAAAAAATGAATCGATTGACATCACACATTTTTATTTAATGTTTCAGTAGTTTTCACAGTGCATGATTTGTGCTTTTAATGTTTTCCAGGAATCTGTGCCCCCACAGACTCCACCATTGGACTAAATTTCATGTTCTATTACTTAACTCTGAATCCCATTAATAAGCGCTCTGAAGGTTTTGTATTATTGTTGTTTTTCTTGGATGACATCATTTAAAGGTGGGAGGGAAAGTCTATTTTAATCTTTAAAAATGAGACAACCACCCATGAAAAACTTTTGGTCCTTTTATTCCTATTGTTTAGAAAAATGAATGAAATAAACAAAACCATATACAACAATATGATAAAAAATGTGTAAATAATGTGCAAAAAAGGGGTTTGTGCAGGATTGGGAAATATGATGGGAGGATGCAAAAAGCTTAGAGAGTGAAATACGCTAAATCAGTGTTTACAGTTTTTAATTCAGTGTAAATTAATGTGAGTGAAAGTCAGAACGTAGAATATAGATGTCAAACAATTGAACCCTGGGACTGACACAAGTTGTATGCCATTGGTGTAACAAAAGCTTACATTGTCCCTCCTGTCAGCCGTCTTATTTAGCTGTTTTATGATAAACTCAGCACATTCAGTGAGCCTGACACGCAGCAGAATTTATGATTAATGACGCACCGAAGGCCACATTGATGTACACCTAAAAGAAAATAGCAAGTCCAATAGGAAGAGATTGACCTAACCTGACTGCGCCGGGGCATCAACATTGACAAGCGAGGTGATCATTCATTTGGGATGAGCGATGATAAACAAAGAACAGCATATCAGAGAAAGTGGCAAGCTCAAATGTTCAACAATAAGAGGAGCTTTTTGCAAAAATGGCAGAATTAAAAAAAAAAAAAAGAAGTATTAACGCTGCTTTGGAAGCTGTTTCCTGAAATGTGGTGCACGTCATCATATTTACTTAATGTCAAGATGTTCGCTGGGTTTAATTATGAGCCATGAAAAGGGCATCAATAAGCAAGGTTGCCCTTTACTGGCATACTGTGGTCATGATGTGTTTGTGTTCACAATGATTGCTTTTAACTCTTTGTGAGGCGGGCTCATGACAGCAGGAGGAATAAATGGACCAATGATGAGGACAATGAGGAAGACGACTCTCAAACTCTTGCTTTCCTTTTTTTTCATGGAATGTAAATTCTCCCTTGATATTTTGTTTTTCACAGTTTGTTTTAAACTCAAAGGTTGACTTAAAGAATTTTTTTGCGACTTACTACTTCAAAATAAAAATAAAAAACTGACTCTATACAGTTTATTTTCACTAATATTTATATATCTCTCAACATATTTTTTGGCTGTTGTGTATTCATTTAGTTGTCAAAGGTATTTCTTAAGTTTTTCACTATGAGTTTATTTTTTTTAACCAGGACCCTAACTAATGTCAATACCGTACATACCTTAACCTTTTATTGCACTATTTAGGATTTAGTATTTTCAAATTATTTTAAGAATTGGATTTTATTTCCTTGGATGAACAGGAACCAAAAGCAGTTCAGAATTTGAATTGAGTTTAACTTCAGGCTTCAGTTGTCAGCCTCTTTGTGAAGAAACAACCAGAAAATACAGGGTAATACATAGTCTTTTTTTTTTAAGTGTCTTCTCCAGGAAAAGTCAGCATTACGTGTGACCTCACTTTGCATTTAGCACATCTTGAGCTCTTTTGGGGAGACTTGTGAAGTTTTCTGAAGAAATCTTGTTGAACATTATGACAAGTATCATCCAGCGCCCCCAGAGATTCTTCTCAACTTTAAGACTGTCTTTCATTTCTTTCTCTGTCCATGTGACCACAAACTGCCTCTATAATGCTCCGCTCTGGATTCTGTGACGGCCAGTTCATGACTGTCAGCTCTTTTTCTCTCTCTTCATTAGCAGTGGGCTTGGGATTGTTCTCATGCTAAATGTGCGTAAACAACAAATCTAGTGATAGCCTAAGACTTTTAAACTGTACTGAACTTACCTTTCTGGGGCAAGAACAAACATGTTAGTCATACAGTAGCATCCTTAAATCGTAATGAAATCCTCTTAATTCCTTGGCTCCCGATGACCCCAGCTGACCCTGAATGCACCGTCTTTATGCAGAAGAATTCTGAAATGTATAAACTCTGTAATAAAACCTTGTTCTTGGCATTTCTGAATAAAATGACCAATCCATTACCGTTTTTTCTACACACTCAGCAAAAGGCTTGTATAAAATTGCTTGTCTAATATATGCATTTATGCCAGAGCAAGTGCTGTGAAGTCGTTTATCTCACCTTCCCCATCTGTTCAAGAGTATATAATGGAGAGGCACAGTGTTTAACCTGCATGAGAACATTGTACTGTGCACCGTGTGGCGACCACTAACTTAAAGGTGATGGTGGCACATGATGTTTCATCTTCCTGACCCGCTGACACCTCTTTGCTCTCCGCTTGTCGTTTTCTAGGCCATCCACTCGGTCGCCTGGCATCACGAGGGCAAGCAGTTCATTTGCAGTCACTCAGACGGGACTCTGACCATATGGAACGTCAGAGGAATGGGCAAGCCCATACAGACAATCACCCCGCACGGTAAGCAGGCGGAGACACACTCATACACACACCCCGCTGCACCCTGTGTGATAGCTTCTCTGTAGGGATTCCATACAGCGTGCTAAATGTTGGAAACTAATGTAATGTCGAGAGGAATTTGTGTTAAGACAGCTAGTGGAGGGTTAACATAAAACACAACTATTGGGTTCAGTTACACACACATACATGATTGTCTAAATGTGCAATACACTTGTGGTCATCCCATTCTAACACACTTTAGCTTAAAGTTACTCTATTAAAGTCATGAGGAGTTTACAGATTTTGGAGATCTGTCTATTTGACAGAACTGATTTTAACCTAACTTTACGATATTAGATCATTATTGAGGAATATAATGATATCCTGAGCGGTGAGAGATACAAAGCAACGGGAGGAACGCTGACACGGTCGGGGGTCGTCACATTTTATAGATACAAAAGAATTAGATGAGAAAATGTCTGAAACCATTGGTTCCTTTAAATCACTAAGATTCTTCTTACTTTATACGTATACTGTACATTATGGATGCTAAACAGATGTGCCATGTCTGGATAGATGCATCAATTTCCTCTTGGTTATTGATTAGAACAGTCACTGTTTCCTCCTGGTTGATTACTTTGTATTCTTAAAGGTATTATACAAACTTCCAAACCAGCGATATCACCTGCCCTACCTACCTAAAGAACCCATCCCTCAAGACTCTCCCCAAACATGTCTCCCTCAACGCCCCCTCACTTCAGGATTATTGTCAGTTCAATTAAAGTCCTGCCTCTGTTTATTTAACTTTGTGTCTGCATGTGCATACATCAGGGCGGATGCTCTGTTTATTTCCTGTAGAGGAGCGAGTCTGCTCTTTTGAAGATGCATTTTAATCCGCGCTCTTCTTTCTAGCCCCTTACACACACAAACACCTTCCTCCCTTCCTTCCTCCTCCTCCTCCTCCTCCTCCTCCTCCATCTTCTCCCCATCCCCTCCACCCCACGCAGCAGCACTTTGACAGTTCACCAGATGAAACAGACAATGTGCGAGTGCAACAAATGGACAGAGAGCATGAGAGTCAGAGAGAGGAACAAAGTAAAGGAATGAAAGAAAAGGAAATAACTTCTAACCAGTTTTCAGGCTGGGTTTGTGTATAGGGGATTTCACCACACAGGCTTTTTAATTAGTTGTTTCTCCCACTGCTGCATACGTAATTAGTTTGGTATTTAATGGGCAATTATGCAAATTCCTTTGACGAGTTAAAGTAAGGCTTATAAGCCCTGCTTTAATTGTCTTTTCTTAGATATCTGTTATTTAGTATAGTTATTAAACGTAGTTCTTTATTACACAGACGTGGATTGTATAACCTGCCATATGGCTCACTTTGGCTCTAGATCAACTTCATGCGCCTTCTTATAACAAAAATATATTCACTGAAATCCATCCAATCCTATGGTATTAACCTCACATAGACCTCCCTTAAGGTTTGAATAGATGGATTCTGCAAATCATCCTTGATTGTCATCACACCTACTTTGCATGTCCCAGCCCCGGCGCTCGTCTGCCTCCTCTCTGATGAATACGCTTTTGTTATTGTCTGGCGACTGTTCATTGCTGCATTTTAAGTGCACCTTCTGGGCGGAAAGAAAAAAATGAGAGGACAGGAGAAACAAGACAAAAGCAGAGGAGAGGAAAGGGAAAGGGAGGAGGGATGAACTGGCAAACTAAAGTAACTTCTGTTTTTTTTCTATTTTTTTTTTTTTTCTATTTTTAGGAAAACAGCCGAAGGACGGGAAGAAGCCAGAGCCTTGTAAACCCATTCTGAAAGTGGAGTACAAAACCACCAGAAATGGGTAAGGTCTCTCTCTCTCTCGCTCTCTCTCTCTCTCTCTCTCTCTCTCTCTATCTATCTCTCTCTCCCTCTCTCTCTCCCTCTCTCTCTCATGCACTTATATATGCACGCATGCCTGGGCATGAAAGTGCTTAATTATACACAGCTGTGGCAAAAGAAACATCAAGGTTACTTACTGTACACGGGTTCAAGCTGCAAAGTGTGTGACAAATGTGCTCCAGAATAGAAGCTACTCAAAGCTTCCTCACTTCGTTTCCTCTCTAACCAGTAGCTTGTTATTATGTAGGTTATTTTATTATGCTGTTAAAATAATGTGATGCTCTTTGTGCATCATGGCATCCTATATTAGGACACCTTGGGATATTCCCTCATTACTTACCCAGTTATTGTAGTTTAACAGTCTGGTCAATTGTCCTCGTTTCAGTGATTCGATGGTCATAAACCTGCTTTCAGGTTTCATTGGTCAAAGTTGACCAAAAGCATTTCTGCATTATATCTGGCTTGCCTTTTGATATAACTATGTGGCCTAAGCTGACTTCATTTATCATAAACTGTTGTTTTGTCATATAAGTTAAATGGAGAGCTGTAGACCAATCAGAAATAAGTATATTTTGCGATCATGAAATAAGTTACATCCATTGACAGAGTGTTGAATCTTCTGTTTGTGTGTTTGCATGTTCTTGGGTTCCAGGGAACCCTTCATTATCCTGTCTGGTGGTTTGTCCTACGACACGGTGGGTCGGCGGCCATGTTTGACGGTAATGCATGGCAAAAGTACTGCAGTGCTGGAGATGGACTATCCAATAGTCGACTTCCTCACACTCTGTGAGACACCGTACTCTAACGGTAAGTTTGTGTCTGTTTGTGTGTTTATTGTCATCTTGTCTGGTCCTCCACACTTACACACCTTTCTGTTTTTTAATTACGCTTGCTTGTGTTTGTGAGTTTTCTGTAATAAATATGAAATTTCCCAGGGGAAAGGCTCCTATTCCACTTTCATTATCCCACAAACGGTGTATTATGTTTTCATTTCATCTCTTTTTTTACACAATTACCCTCCATCTAAATTACATTATTACCTTATTTCCTGTATGGAGGAGTCAACAGCTAAAACAGCAGAATGAAGCAGAACTGTGTGAGACCCTGTGCATATATAATCCACTATGTAACCTCTAGTGGACTGTTATCTCACACATATACAGCTACAGGAAGGATTAGGGAGTTATGTAACAGTGGTGACGTCATTTTGTCACAGCCAGTCTGATGTCAGCAACCACTGATTTCATCTGATAATAGACATTATTGGCTTTTTGGATTATACAACACATGTCTGGCTGATAATGTGCACCGTATGTGAGCACAGTTTGACGAATGTTTGTGTGTGGAGGCGGCGTATAATCCTTCATATGATTGTCTTTGCTTATAAATGTGTTCCAGTGGGAAATGGAGAAGGTGGCAGACTTTTTTTTGGTTAAATATCACTTGTTCATGAACAAAAACACAGTATACAAGAAAAATACCTGAAATAATTGTGACAATATATTCCTCTTCCTTCAGGTATTTTCTAAGGTTTAGGGAAACTCTTCCACCTTCTGATGTTTTTTTAGAGATGGCTTTCTCATTTATGTTCAGCATCAAATGTCTACTGAGAAAGGGCTAAGTTATGCATTTCACATCTTATTTGCGATTTCCATCCATTTGACAACTGGACAACTCTTTTATCAAAGAACATTATCTTTTTCTGTCACATATTGTCGTTTTTGTATTTAGTTGGTATAATTAGGTCAATGTTCTATAGAAAACAGCCATAATTACTAGAGGTGGGGAAATCTTGTGAGATTTTAAATAGATTCATAACTTCCAAAATCATTTTAATTTTCTTTGCTAATCAGTCACTCCCTGCTAAGTGCTAAAGCTAGCTCTTTCACTCAGTAGATTGCCAAATGGAGCAGCAAGAAATTCAGCCAGTCTCACAGATGCCGGAGTAGATCCTGAAGTATGTACTCATTGAAAAAAAAAGACTTTGAATCATAAATCCAGAATCGTTTTGAATCGAAAATAGATTTCTGAATCGAACTGTGACCCCCAAAATTGAAATCGAATTGAATGGTGAGACACCCAGAGATTCTCAGCCCTGATAATCACACTCGTCCTCAGAAGTACAGAAGGATTCTGTCTGGTTATCTAAAGTTGCATAACAGTTTATATGAGACTGTGGATCACTTGTAGACCAGCACATGTTAAGTAAATCAAGAAGGACAGGGGAAGGTGTGTTGCCAGCAGTTGTCAAAGTGTTTCAGCCTCGGTGTATCCGATAGGCTGACATCAGCTGCTCTATACAACGACAGTTCTCTAAACACCAGTTTGCATGCAGACACACACATTCATGGATACAGTACATAATCTGAATGGTCCATAAAAATGAAAGTATAGCAAAACATCGATACATATTTCTATACTCTTCTCATTTGAATGACCCCAGATCAAGCTTAGAGTGCAACACGTTATACAAAGTCGGACATGTCGACAAGGTTTTATATCACAAAGGATTCAACCAATAGTTAATGTACTGCAACGGTGGCCCTTAGTGGCCAAAAAGAAGAGTGGAAATATACTAATTATACAATTTAAAGTTACAGTTACAGCACATATTTAGAGACATCTCTGTTCATGCGAGCCTTTCTGGCTAAGTTTAAACTGTGGACTCTGAGTGCGAGGTGTAAAACAAGAACGGATAGACTTTCAGACACCAGAGCCTGATAAACACACATACAATACTACCTGTAACAAGATAGCAATAATATTAATATTTAATCTTTTGCACTATTCACCACTGCACTGTTTCATATTTAGTCATGTAAATATTAGTCTTTTCTTTTTAAGTTTATTGTTGATATTTAATTCTATACCTGTACATAAGAGAGCACAGTTCACCAAAGTTAAATTGTGTTAGTAAGCATACCTGGCCAATAAATCTAATTCTGATTCTGATTCTGATTCTGATTCTGATATTTCAAACATAGAAGAAAGCACTCTTCAGGTTATCTGATAAAGTTACAGAGGATGGATACACACACACACACACACACACACACACACACACACACACACACACACACACACACACACACACACACACACACACACACACACACACTTCTTTCATGAATGAAATCAGTGTAAGTCTCTAACTGTAGTGAATTCATTTAAAAGGCTGATGTCACCTATAATGATGTTCAGTTCAGTGTGGACTTTTATTGTTCCTGGAAGAGAAATTTGACTTACAGCAATGGACATAAATACGACAAATAAAAAGACAACACAACTTGAAGGAAAACAACCAACCAGCTGTAGTGCTGCTTGAAAGTGCAGTCAAGGTCTAAAGAAGATTTAGTGCGTTAATTGCACTAGGAACATACATAAATCTGTGTCTGTTGGTCTCAGGATGGTCAGAGCTGGCCAAGAATGACTTTGCTGTCCTCCCAACTTGTCTGTTCCCAGGAAAGCTGCTGTGTGTCCATTATTTTACTGGCGGTTTTAACAATCCTGGACAGACGCTTTTTGTTTTGTTGACACCAAAAGCTTACCATACCGTGAGATAAAACAAAAGGTTAAAACTCAATAAAAGACCTGTAGAATAAAACCACCAGCGTCTTGTTCACATAAGATAGTTTTGTTGTGTAGAGGAACAGGTTTGCAGAGAAACTAACATGGCTAAAGACTTCGGGTCACTTTACTATAGTTAGGTCTAATTATTATTACATGTAAAAGGGAAACTTTTTAAGTTTGTATCGGACAAATCTTACACCTTTACTTGTTAAACTGTCTTTGTTTGCAAATCACTAAAGAATTAAGACACAATGGCAATTAAATAGAAGGTATTCAGATGTTTTTTTCACTTGAACAACATTGCTAATTTTAGCTAGCACTACTTCATACACATTAGGGACTTGTCAATATCAATAACCCATAATTAAAACTGTGTTTAGTTCTTGTTAGCAAATGTTAGCATTATATTTGGCCAGACTTAGATTGTGAAATTGGTACTTACCTTCTTTATATTAGCATGTTAGCATGTTAGCGAATGTGTTAAACGTATTCAGCCTGCGCAGAAAGTAGAATCTCTGCACAGATTGCATTTGTGATGGAAGTGCATGCTAGGATTAGAAATATTATGCAGGTAGCTTTTTAAGCATGAGGGTGATACTGTATGTCCTGGTTACTGTGCAAAAGGTTCGAAGGCTGGCATAAAGTAGAAACATCCTAAAAATGATTATGAGATTGAACTCCGTAATCAGACTGGTACAAATATTTAACCAAAGCAATATTCCCCACAGTTATAAATCACATAGATTAATACATCTGAAGCGTTAAATGTTGCTGCCCTCACATCTTCAGGGCACAGATATGTTAATAACATTTGCCATAGAAAAATCTGAGGAATTTCTCCCCTGTGGTTTGCAGATTTCAGGGGAGCTCTAGGAATTACATGAGTAAATGAAAAAAAAAAAAGAAGCTGTATGATGAATGGCTTGTCTCGTTGTTTCACTGTGCAGATTTTCAGGAACCGTACGCTGTGGTGGTCCTTCTAGAAAAGGATTTAGTGGTGATCGACCTTGCACAAAATGGGTGCGTATGACTTTATTAAATTACTCTTTATTATCTTGGCTTCTTTTGTTTCTGAAATGCGGGGCTAGAATGTCCCAGTTCATCTATTAGAGTTCGTTATCTGTATTATTCATGGCCTCTACTTCTAATCATGATATAACCTCCTTCAGTGAATCATATTCTTTTGTGTGTGTGCAGTGAATTTGAATAGTGCACTCACACTGGACAGACGGAGTAATTCTATTAAGAGTGCCTTTGTCTGTGCTTCCTTGTGAACAGTTACCCCATATTCGAGAACCCCTATCCTCTGACGATCCACGAGTCTCCTGTAACCTGCTGCGAGTACTTTGCCGACTGCCCTGTGGACCTCATACCTGCACTTTACTCTGTCGGCTCACGGCAGAAACGACAGGGATACAGCAAAAAGGTACTAAATACTGTGGAAAGCATGTTGCTTCAAAAACTGTTGGTGGTGTGTTTTCTTTACTGTTAAGGGAAACTTTGAACCACCTTAGATGTTAGTGGTAAATATTAGGCCTTGGATTGAACCCTTGGCATTAAAGAATAACAGCATCTTTTAGGGACTGCAAGTTTGCATGGTAGTGACAAACGAGGAGGGTAGAAATAATTAGTGAAGGATAAAAGATATTTCTATCTTCTCAGAAAAATAGGAGACCATTCTTGATCGGGAGAGTTTCTCCTCTTTTCTAGATGCTCAAAAGTTTTGGGATCCCAGAACATATCCTGTCAATGAGTTGTTTATTTGCAATCATCGTAAAGATAGGGATGTCATAGAAAGGAAACCACTTTTTAAACGCAGTTTAATACACATTTGTTGTTGGATGATTTATATAGATTGTTATCTGTAGACAAATCGTACAATTCTTACACTCAACTGTCCTGACTCTATGCTACACGGGCAATTAGAGTACATGGAAGTCTATTCAGTGAAAATAAGCCACTTCAGCAATATTTTTAGTTTTCAAAAATACTGAAGAGACATAGAATCAACTTATCAACATCCAAATCAACTCCAAATCAAATCAGTCTTTGCTGTTTCTTGTGTAAATAAGCAGAAGTTAGCATTCTGTTGGGCTAAACTTAAACGCTGACACTGGTTGGTATTTTCGAAACAATGGAATATTAGCATTGTGAGTGTGTTAGCTTACTAATGTTAGTACCGAGTTGATAGTTTTGTTGTGTAGAGGTACAGGTTTGCAGAAAAACTAACATGGCAAAAGACTTTGGCTCACTTTACTATAGTTAGGTCTAATTATTATTTCATGGAAAAGACACAATGGCAATTTAATAGAAGGTACTCAAAGGTTGTACCACTTGAACAACATTGCTAGTTTTAGCTAGTACTACTTAATACACATTAAGGACTTGTCAATATCAATACAGTTAAAACTGTTTTTAGTTCTTGTTAGCAAGCATTAGTTAGCATTATATTTGGCCAGACTTAGATTGCGAAATTGGTACTTACCTTCTTTATATTAGCATGTTAGCATTGTGAATGTGCTAATGTTGGCACCTAGCTTAAAGTTTTGTTGCGTGTATGTACAGCAAAGCTTTGCAGAGCCACTAGATGTTGCATGATAGTGGTTTTTCTTTCAATATAGACATAAATCTCCCACATTTCTCCATCACAGAATCATTTTTTGAACACACATCTGAGCACAGAGTAATGATGTATAAAAGTGTAATAGTGTCCTGAGTGTAGAAGTTAGCTTCATGTCCTTCTGGATAGTAGCGCCAAAGAAGAGCAAAATGCCTTAATTAGAAACGGAATAGTATCACATTTTACATTCTCTCCGCCACTTGTCTTAAAAAACATCAAGTAGGAAAAGGACAGAATATCACATATAGTGCTAAGTTGTTTTTTATACTCTGAATTTATCCGGGGTTTCTCCTGCCAGCCCCCTAGTATTTTTCTGCAGCTATTCCAAGTGAGCTGATGTGAGAACTCAGCAGGATAAAATCAGGAGAATTCAACTCGAGCGAGTGAGAGGGGTTGGAGACGTTTATTCCCTGACATCAGTTCACGACCATAGATGGTATGCACGTAATGAAATTGCTGCATTACGTTTTCTGTTCGTCAGTATGTGCTCCTCAGCCCTTTTGTTGATGTTGTGATTATGTCTAACTACATGTAGCGTTTAAATAAAGGCAATTATTTTTTATTATAGCGTTGTATAGCGGACCTTGTTGTGTTCTGGACACCCCCCTCCCATCCGCCCGACGGGGATAGTCCCCGCTGTAAGGTGCATGTGTGAACAACCAGAACAGGAGGATTTCAGGGGCAGTCCTCCTGAATTTATAGAGAAATGAAGGCTATGGATTTTTGAAAGCTTCCTTTAAGCGAAATGGACTGTACGGTCCTCAAATCTCTCTGCACACCTTCTCTCTTTCTCCTCTCATTATCGTCTCTTTTCCCTGTATCATCTAAGACAGACCCCCTGCTCTTAAGACCATTATGTATGCCCGTGTTCTTCTCCCTGTCGCCTTGTTCTAGCTTTCTGTCGGAAATGTCAGCATGTACTGACCCAAACTGGCTGCCTAGCTGCTACTCTTTTTTTTTTTTGTCAAGTAAAGGCCTGGCTGAGCTGCAGGAGGGCATTCTCACATAAAGATCACCATGAGTCATCCAGGTGACCTTTGTATGTGTCAGCGTGTTCAAAGCAAATCCCCCCACTAACACACACACACACACACCCTCTTTCTCTCTCTCTCTCTCTCTCTCTCAGAGGTGCATAATGTGTAATTGCAAGAACCACAGAGAGACTCACACAAAGGATCCTTACTGTTTCCTCATGTACACTGACACATGTATACTTTAATCATGCCGTCTATTCCTAAAATCAATGTTGCTATTGACATGCTCTACTTCTACTTGCTCTCTCTCATGGCTCTAATGTGCCTTGTGTTTCTGCTGTCTCTCTAGGAATGGCCTATTAGTGGTGGAAACTGGGGTCAAGGCACACAAAGCTACCCAGAGATCATCATCACTGGGTAAGACAATGCTGATTTTGTTAGCATTAGCATTATCCTCTCCCTGCGACTCAATTACTTTCACCTTTCCCGCTCGTTCAGGTCACAACAGCAGAGGAGCTCGTCTCTACACATTTACTGTATCTCCTTAAGTATTCCGATAGTGTGCACTTTGCTACATTTTGATGTTTATTATCCCGTGCTAAGCTGCCAACAAGGGTAGAAGGGGCGTTTTAAACAGAACACACACTCTGAACAATGTGACATTGAGGTATGGGCTTGGCAGCAGGAGGCTCTCGCTCCTCTTCTCTCCTTTCTTCCTCTCTCCTCACCCCGACTGTGCGGTATTACTATTCTGTCCAGGTTTCGCTCTCTTTCTAAGAGTGCCACAGCCTGCAAAATATTTCTCTTCCAATCCACTCAGAGGAATTGGCAACAACACAATGAGGATTGAGGAAAAAATGGCAACCAAAAAACAAGTTTTTTATGACAACGACCTTGCCTTTGACACTTAATTTGAAGCTGTCCTGCTTATCACCTGCTAATGACGTAAGCGTTTACAGTCATTACACAAGCGCAATTAGTTTTTACGATATGATCAACTTGTGAAAGACGCTGGCTGGACATCGTGCTGCTAACACAATTTACATTATTAGGACAGTTGCATAACATTACATTGAGTATGTTAATGTAGAACATGTCCATTTAGGATTGTTGGCTTATTATGACGCTCTCACACCAAGATTATCAGTCATTTAAACAAAGAGGCCTTGCCATACAAAATGTGGATATTGTGTCCATATACCTATTGCTTTACAAATACTGAATGGACTGCAACTACATCATAAGGCGCTTTTCTGCTCTGTATTTACACTACATGTACAATTCACCCTTTCACACACTGATATAGAGCATTGACACTATATAAATATGGATGACGAGTCCCAAACTCTTCCCATTTTACAAAATAAAGCCAAAGTACCCCTGAGAAACGCGCTGACATATTACACTGGTGACGTGATTTGAAGCCAGGACATGCGCACAAGGGATCTAGCTGGTGGACATGTGGAATTCACATCATGCCCCTTCCACTAACCAAAGCACACATTCAACGTCCTGGTTAAAACGGTCCCTCAAGATCCCTCAAGATCCCTCAAGCAGGTTCAGTAAGCAGCAGAACTGATTTTTGTGTTGGTTTTGGGCAAATGCTCGCGGTAAGGGTAAGGGAAAGTGTAATAGTTCTCATGAGTGCTTGTTATGTTTCCCATTGTAGTTTCTCTAATCTGCTAATCCTGAGAACACAGATCTGTAGGAGCTGCATTTACCAACACAGATATCAAGGCTTTACAGACAATCTTTTTTAGCATCAAATAACTAAATTAAACAAATACTTAAAAAACACGTTTGAGAAAACATTATTTGACATGTATTTAAATGTTATAGTTTCACCCATGTCCGCTTTGTTAACATGGATGAGGCATAGTTTGTGACCTTGCGACTTGGATCCAGTCAGTAGGAGGAGCTTCAAATATTTTGGCTACACTTTAGTGGAGTTTTAGGGTATGGGGGGTCAGGCCGTCCATCTTTTTATGCAGTCCATGGATAGGCTGCTTCTTAAAATGCCAAAATGCCCATCAGCACTAATCACTTCACACATCGATGGCTCTGTCTTTGGCAGAAAATTGGGCTGCAGAGTCTTGCCCAAGAACACTTCGCCTTGTAGACTGCAGGAGCTGGGGATCTGCCAGCCAATACCTCAATTGAGAGAAAACTTTAGACTAAAGTATACCCAAGTACATCAGTATATAAAACCAAGAGTGACATTTATCTGAAGGAGGGGTCTGTAGTAGTTAATTGGGGAATAAATTAAATGTATTTTTTTAGTGGTTCTGTTTATATTTGTTTCATTATGATTCACACACATGATATAAGGTTAAAAAAATGTGTATTATCATATTGTCTGTCAGGAAGATTCTAGAGATGATTTTTATGCTGCACATTTTAAAACACTGTTTCTGGTTGATCTGACAAGAAGTCAAAGTTCAATCTCAGAAATTGGAAAGAAAACAACTTCAAATTAATTTCTCTTTTTTTCTTTGTTTCCCCTCTCTGTTTCTCTTGAATCCCCAGGCATGCTGATGGAACTGTGAAGTTCTGGGATGCCTCTGCAAGTGAGTTTCTCTGTGGCTTAGCTTTGTTTGAACATCACAAATTGAAAAACAGAACGTTCAATTCTGAGCACAAGCCTTTACACACAAACAAACTTTTTTCCAAGTTCACAGCACTACACGTCGTGATTCAAATCGAATCGTACGGGCCTGGATTGCGACTGATGGTTCTCTTCTCTTCCTTATTTTCCTAGTAATGCTTCAGGTGCTCTATAAGCTGAAAACAGCCAAGGTGTTTGACAGAAATCGCTCCAAGGAAGAGAAAGGCAGCACTGAGGTGTCAGACGAAGACCCCTTTGCTATTCAGATCATGGCCTGGTGCCCTGAGAGCCGGATGCTTTGTGTGGCTGGAGTGTCAGCAAATGTTATCATATACCGCTTCAGCAAGCTGGAAGTAACTACTGAGGTGGTGCAGGTGGGTACAAGTTTAAAAAATCTGGGTTGAATGTTAAAGAGAAGAGAAAAAAATTAATGACTTTTGAAATTGTAAAATAATGTTTTTTTTTCTCTGTCTTTACATTTTAAGATGTTTGTATGAATACATAAATACACACAAATACTCTCAGAGATCTGCCTAGTCAAAGGCAGTATGGTTGCCATGCCAACCGACAAAGCAGTGAACATGCAAAGCTAGAATGTCATTATAATCTGCCTTGATAGCGACGTAAGTGTTAATGGGGGTGTGATGGGAGTTGGTGTTTAATGACATAAAGAGAAATGCTGTTTAATCTGTGTATGCATGCTCAAAGCTGCTATACTGCAAGAGAGAGAGAGTGCTTGCCTACATGCTTAGTTTCTGCTTTTTGGTCGCTGAAGCGGCGGTGTGTTAAATTGCGAACCAGTAAGATACTTTAATTATTTTTGTATCATTTTGGCCACAATTTGTCTTGCTAAGCAAGCATCGCTGTGGTGTTGTTGTTTCAGACTTTCCCTGGATAGAGATCACTTGTCAATCAAAGTATGTGGGATGGAGTGTGATGCGTCTGTGAATTTTAATTTTTCAGCTTGTGCCCTTTGTGTTCGTCACCATTTGTCCCAACTATCCAATTCTTTTCTTCATCCACATAAACTTGGCTTACAGTGAATGCTTTGAATGTAGCGGTGGGGTTTGAACACCCTGCTTTAAAGCACCTTGCTGCAGGACTATGTGGTTCAAATCAGGATGGGTTTCAGGCACTTTTTTTTTGCTCGGGCTTAAAGGAGGAGATTTGGATGTGGATCAGGAGCAGATTTTCAGTTGTAGCAAACTGTAATTAGGAGTGCGCCCTCACTGTAACCTTGCAGAAGTGAAGGTAGAGGAGGGCAGAGACAGGCTGGAGTGAAAATGTGTAGAAGGGCACTGATCACTCTTCACTCCCACATGTCAGTGGGGCTAATGAGACTGACAGAATGCAAAAGAGCGGTGATTATGAGCATTGTGTGTGTGTGTGTGTGTGTGTGTGTGTGTGTGTGTGTGTGTGTGTGTGTGTGTGTGTGTGTGTGTGTGTGTGTGTGTGTGTGTGTGTGTGTGTGTGTGTGTGTGTGTGTGTGTGTGCGTGCGTGTGTGTGTGTGCAGAGGCGGAGGTTGCAGAGAAAGTAGCCTGAAGGAGGACTTAGAAGGAATGCAATATTCCAGTATTGAAGGACCTCTGACTCTCAGTCTGCCTACACACACACACACACACACACACACACACACACACACACACACACACACACACAAACAAAACAAATCTCTAATATTTAAGTGATTCTGTGAGTGTGTGTGGAAGTCATTCACGGTCACACGCCTTTTTCCCATCCTCAGAGGAATTAATGCAGAATTGTGGTTTACATAAGTTTTGTGCATTTAATGTGAATTTAATGAACTCCTCCTAATTTTTCACTGCTGATATCTCCTTTGCTGTGAATGTGTGTGTGTGTGTGTGTGTGTGTGTGTGTGTGTGTGTGTGTGTGTGTGTGTTTCACAGTTACTAGAGGTGCGAATGCAGTATGAGCTGAACGACATAGAGTCTCCAGACGGCGGGGTAGGAGGGGGCGAACAGACATCGGCGCTTCCCACGCCTGGCGCCTCCCCTCAGACGAGTGGCCCGCCTTCACACCCCTCCACCAGCAGCAACAACTCTGACGGAGGCAACATCCCCTGCCTCAAGTATGAAACACACATACACACACACACACACACACACACACACACACACACACACACACACACACACATACACACATGCAAACAGAAGCACTTCGATAAACTCTCTTAAGAACCAGAAGCACACATTCTCATACTCACACACACACACACACACACACACACACACACACACACGCGATATTCAAGAGTCTTGAATATCGCCTCAAGCACCCTTGCCCAGACTCAGTCAGTGTGTGAAGCATTCTCAGCCACAGCCTCTCTCCCATCACATCATCCCCTCGCAGCAAATCATGCCAGATCCTCCGAACACAACCGTCTCACAAATGCAGCTGCGCCACTTGTCACCCCCTTGGAAAATGAAACCATTTGTGTTATGTGTATGCTTCTCTCCGTTTAATTTTTTCCTTTTTTTTTTTTTGACTTTTCTTCTTCTCTTTCAGAGTGCGCAGTACTCCTCTGAAGCAGTCTCCAGGGTACCAGGTAGATCTGGTGGTCCAGTTAGTGTGGGTGAGCGGAGAGCCCCCTCAGCCGATCACAAGTCTGGCTCTCAATTCCTCCTACGGCCTGTGAGTGTGCAGACAGAGAAATCTTTATTAAGAACAGAAGCAAGACTTGTCTGAAAAGTTCTCACTGTTTTTATTCATTGAGAATATTGTTAGAACCATATTTAACAGGCAGTGGACCTTTGCAATAGGTCCAAGCTCTAATGACAACCATGCCTTTAAATATGAATTCACAGTAAAGAGTAATAAACTCTTAAATTCTGTTGTTTTTTTTGGTTTTGTTTGCAGCTATACTGTATTGTGTTTCTCTAACAAATCTCTTTTTTTCTCTCTTCCCGTTTGTCTTCTTCCCTCTGACCCCGCCCCATCCTTGATCTGCCCCCTGTACTCCCCGACTCCGCCGCCCATCCCCCAGTGTGGTGTTTGGCAACAGTAACGGCCTGGCGGTGGTGGACTACATCCAGAAGACGGTAGTACTCAACTTATCGACGGTGGAACTTTACGGCTCCAACGACCCCTACCAGAGACAGCCGCGCTCGCCAAGAAAGACACGGCAGCCTTCTGGAGGTAATGAGGATAAAAGGATAAGAAGGACAAAGCAACAGAAAAAGAGAGATTGTTTTACACTTTTAAACCAAAGACATCAACTCAAGTCCATACACACTAAGATGCAGTATCTAAGGAGCAAGTACCACTTTTATTTGATGCAATTGGTGCAAGCATATTTAAAACTCCTTGAGAAGAATCTGCCTTGTAGGTCAGTTGGACATTATATATCAGGGAGTGTGCATGTGTTAGTCACAAATTAATTTTCATTGAACATCGGTGGCCTTTTGGTATCATATTCTTTGCTCTTATTATTGCCTATTGCTTGCAAATGTTCAGCTAGAAAAGTAATTAATTTTGTGGCACTGCTTATCTGTTCTTTCGGGCCCCAGCAGCCCAGATTACTTGTGTTTGAAACAAGAATACTGCACATTATTTTTTTTATTCACTTCTCTTTTGTCTTTGTCTGAATCTCTATCACTAAGCTAAAATGTTGTCTCAGCATCTAACCAAGTCGGACCATGATCTGTAAATCCATGCTTCTATCCGAGAGATAGCTGTAAAAAAAAAAAAAAAAAAACGACGCTTAGGTTCCAGTGTGAATGGAGCCTAATATAGTTAGACAAACACACGGCAGGTTTAGGGATTCTGGGAATAGAGGGTAAAATTGCAGCAGTTTATTGCAGAACAACTCCTGGGATGCACTTGGGAGCGAAATCAGATTTTATATTCAAGCTTAATTTTCAGCAAAGGTCTGGATAGGAATTTGAATCAGTCTCTCTGAGTGAATGTTATGATGGGTTTGTGCCAGTGAAGCCTTCTAATGATGATTACTTAGACTCCAGGTTCAGCGTCCCTGAACTCATCCGTAAACTGATCCAAGTATAAGAGTGAAAGAAGTCACAGAAAGACACACGTTGCTTTTTAAAGAATGCTGCATAACACATTAACTTTGTCTGTGTCCATGTACTTCTTCCTTCTCATTCACACACACGCGCGCGCACACACGCACGCACACTCTTTGAGCCCATCCCTTTAACAAACATTGCCACTGCAGCCTCGAAGTACCATTGATAGATTACGAGATGCTTTCAGTATGGACACACTGCCACCTTGTGTTAGAAAACAGCAGCACAGCTACAAAAAAGGGTGCCGCAGTGTCATCATGATGTACTGCCCATACTTATGCAGGAGTCTGACGGATGAACTGATAAACTGTGTGCATGTGGAAGCTGAGGGATCACATAGATGCCACAGGTACACACCAACTCATGTTTGCACACACGTAAATGCGACCAATACGCAAGCATGCGGGCATGAAAATACGCGCAGAGCATCTGGTGTCACTGACTGGTGAGCAGTGGGCTGGCACCTGTCACAGCTTCGCGAGCGTGAGCAGTAATCAGGCGTCCAGCTGTGTTTCCGTGCGAACAGGGGGATGTTGTCTGCCTGGCTTTCTGCCTGGCTTTCTGCCTCACAGGACATTGTCACACACACACGCATTTATTCACAAACATAGGAATTAGTTTAAATAGGGTGAAGAAACATTTCAAATGAGTTAAATCTTCTTTTTTAGAGTGTCTATTGCTTTTGTGTTTGTCAGTTTATGCGTCATCCATTTGTACATATAGTACAGTCCAGGCCTTTTTTAAATGGACTTATTGTAACAAATGGAAGTGCCAAGGGCCTGGAATTAGTATTTTTTTAAGTCTGACCCAAAGAACTAGGGATTTAAATGTGGTGTACATATTACAATAAGAGCTGAAATTGAACAAGCTGCTCTCGTTGTAGGCTTTAAAGAGGATGTTAAATGAAGGAGTCGGACTCATCTGGCTGAAGATGTTCTCCCTGATGCGTTTGTGAATGATCTTGACAAACAATTTGCAGTTGACATTTGTTATTTGTGTCTTTTAATGTCTAATGTATTTTTTTTCTGTTTGTTTGTGTGAAACTCTGTTAACTGCGCTGTCGCCTGTCTTGGCCAGGACACTTTTAGATAAATAGATTTTTTTTACATCTCAACAACTTTCTTTCCTGGTTAATTGAAAAATAATTAATCTTAAGTGAGAAGTGAGTTGTTATTTTAATAAACACAATGTTGCATTTAACATAGTTTTTTTTTTAATTTACAATGGCTTTCCTAAACTCCTCTCCTAAATAATCAACATAGTTTACAAATGGGCTAAATGACCTACTTTAAATAATTATTTCCCTTACTTGTCTCTGTTTAAACAGTATGTTAAGCTAAGGAATAAAAAAAGCAGTATTTATGTATTAAGATTAGAGCCAGTTTAGGATCACTAACAGCCCAGATTCAAGCCCCCTAATGAACCGGTATGGTCTAGTCCTATCTCAGATAAACATCCTTTAATCCCAGTTGATATCACTGTAGATAAAGTAAATAGAGTAATGGGCTCACATGTATTTAATAATCATGGACTTGCTTTATTTTTTATTCCATGTTTTGAATTGTGTGATCTCTCCTGCAGGTTTGTGTGACATCAACGAGGGCTCAGCGACGTCAGAGGACCGCTGCAAATCCCCTACTTCAGGTAACATGTCCTTCAGCGTCTTAAGACAGGAAATCTCAGAGTTATATAGCAGCTTGAGGCTTTGTGTCATTTAGATGAAAAACACAAACAGTGAACCAGTCAAATATACGTCTCTTATACCGTGCTTTTAAATGCAGGAGGAGCTTTGTTAAGCGGACCAGATTCATGTTTCAAAACAGCCTCTTCTTTTAATAGTGCTTTATTGAAATGGTGGCTCATCAAACTGGAACTATTCAGAAGGGATTCTTGTTGAAGCGTAAAATTGTCTGCCTGTCAATTTCATTCTCCCTCAGTCTTTAGAAAAGCACTGTTTGAGTTTATTACCATAAGTTTATTGGTTTCTGGGAGTATTTTCCCATTTGTGCATGCATTCTTTTACCACTTTGCAGAGTTCAATAGGCAGGAATAAATAGTTTTAATCTGACGTGGGCTCCTGGAAAACTAGGATTTGGCTGTAAATGCATCTCAGCTCTGTGATGTCAAGTCAGTGGGGAAACCTTAGAATTAAGAATTAAAGAAATTTTAAAACAAAACTCTGCAATGTGGTAGAGAAACCTATTTATTAACATTAATCAGCGGTCAATTCAAATAGTAAAAGTTCAACCTGAAGGGGCCTCAAGTATTTTACATTTTCATTCTCTGCATGATTACATGATTATTAACAAAAGCTTCTGCAGGTAAACAGTATATTTTATACTAACTGTAAGATTATGTGATTAACAATTCGACTTGATTTGAGCAGGGAGCTTCTCTCAGTCCAAGATCTGAAGAATGTGGTCAGGTGCATAAAACTGAAGCAGACCTGGCCTTCCTTTGTCATATTAAACAGTTGTCATATCAATCAATATGACATAAGGACAGTTTGAATAAACACTTTTGAAACATTCATAGCGATGTACTTTGAGTTTTGCAACAGTAAGATTGTCTGATGCTCCTTTACTTGCCTCCCTCTTAATCTGCATCGTTAGAATTTCAGCAGAAGGGGCTTGAAGACAGAACAGCCCAGATCCATCTCATTAGAGCTAACTTTGCATTAGCACACCGAAAAATAAGGAGCTTCTTAAAAAGGTCAGACAGAAAACAAATCTCAAAGTCTGGAGTCCTGCTGCTGTTTTCAGGTATGATGCCTGTCCCAGCCTCCCACGTCTGGTGCCACCAGACTGTGGTCTGATACATCTGTCTGCTCTACATTATTCATAGGACAGTCTGAGAGATAAGATTGCCTTTCTGCACAAAAAATTCTGCCTTGACAAGAGACCAAGGATAAGCAGTTTTCTTTCCTTCGGGTTACCAGTGAAGTTAACCATTGAAAGTAAAAGACCTTATGCATGATTCTTTTCATCTAGAGCCACCTATCAAAAGGACTATGAGAAGAAATGAATCACTTTATGTTGCCAATATGTGAAAGGATTTTAACATTACTGAGCACAACAAAGCATTGTTTAGCCGAGACAATCTTAGGATTTGACTTTGATGTGTGCTTCAAAGAAGCTTGACATTTTTCTGAACTCAACACCAGCAGTATACAAGCTAATGTCAAAAACAATGGCCTCCCACATGAGCACAGAGTCCAACACAAAGAACATACATCTTTATTTAAGTTTACTTAGTTTATTTAGTGTTGTGGCAAAATGGCATTGTGACCAATATGAGGGGAAAACTGGGGTCAACATTGACAGGGCTTTCCTTTTTTGTTCTTTTTAAGCTAGCATTAGCGTGCCTGTGCATGCAGGCTAATGTAGCAAAACGGTCTTAATTGGATAACCTTAGCTATTGAATCAAGACTCTTAGTTCTGGTCTGGCCTGGTAATTTGGTTAGCTTGCTTGCTTTGAAAATAACTTAATTAGCTTAACTTTCGTAGCAAGCAGTGTCATTTTTTTTTTTGTTAATGGTAGATATTGCTGTGTCTGAAATCACTCACTTCACACTATATAGTCAACTATATAGTGAGTTTGCCATTTTGTGGTGCTGTCTGGATGTATAGTGAGATTTATAGTGTTTTCAAATTATTCACAAAGTATCCAAACTAAGCATTACATACCATCATGCATGGCGCTAAGGGAAGAAACAGACAGCAGTGACAAGAACAAAGTGCTATTTTTAGCCACTTCTGGTATTAGAGTCTTCCCATGACCAGAATTGTTTTTCCTTGACACTTGGCAGTTCTGTCATATGGTTTTCCTTCAGATGAGTCAAACCACAAATATTTTAACCAGCATTTAAAAAAAAGAACAGGCCATTCATCAGCTAAAACAAGGATAGGTTTTGTGTATAGTAACAAGACAGAGGGTGTTTTTGACTTCACATTTACTTACCTTATTTTTTCCCCCTTACACCCCCAAAAGTGTTGATGACAAACAGCAATCTGCAACAATTCTACAATGGAGGTGGTAGAGGAGGTAAGATGGGCCACATTTTTTTGATGACAGGCTGTTTACAGTAGGAAGGAAAAAACTCCAGACGTGTCACCCTTGTCTCTGTCCTTGGTGTCATGGTCACCACAGCGGGAGGAATAGGAATAGATTATGGTGAGCCAAAGTCAGCTTCTGCTCCTCCATCTTTCAATTCTCACTGTATTCAGTTTCAAACAAAGGTAGTTTATTTCTTGGCCAAAAAAAAAACAAAAGACTCATATTGTTTGCTGAACTAATTTTTTTGTTACAAAAGTACAAGGTTTGAAGACTGTACACCGAGAGCTGAAAGCTTGTGGAGCAGAGGCTAACCGCTGCCATTTTTATACACATTTGATACAGCTTAACGACCTTAGACATTACTGCATGCTACATGTACGTAGCACGAGTGTCATATTGTAAATGTGCCTGCGTGTGGTATTTGTTCATGACCTCGTACAATAGATTCCCTCTGTACTTCATGAGTTACATGATTGGTATTCTATGTCCATAGTACAGTATGGAGTGAAGAGCAACTCATTTGTCCAAATGTGTCTTTGTGTATCTTTAGTGCGTCATTGAAAAAGATAATTGCCTATCAACCACTGATGATCGGAACAGTCGAAATTGATAAGTTTACTTTTTTCGAGATCTTAGCTCTGGATGCTGTTGACAATGATATGGTACCAAATAATGTTTAAGTTTTTATGTGGTCCAGACCAGCACTTCTCAAAAACCAAAATCATGGAATGTTTTTATCTAGCCCAACAACATCTATTAAATATAAACCCTTTTAAATCCTTACATTTTTCAAGACATGCTCAAATATTTTAAGCTATAATGTCAACATATTATTGACCTTTTTATTAGTTTTGCTTCACCTTGGAAGGCAGAGAAGTTTCTTCTGTTATCTTATTGGTTCATCAAGTTTGGTGACTTCATTTAATTCCATATATCGCCACAACCAATCTTATTCAAAGTTCAGGTCTTATTAACTTCTGAAATAATGTCTATGAAAATATATTTTAAGGAAACGTTTACTTATACCATTTCCAGTAGCTGAAATGCCTCTGATCTCACTGAAATAAGGGATCTGTATCTGCAAGTGAGCCGGTACTTGCACTATACAATTATGTGTTAGCTTTGAAAAAATAATTGGAATATTGGAAATATCTGGTGGCAGATAACAGGTTGCACTGTTCTGCCACCAGATATTTCCGTATATCTATTATCACTGCCACTGGTGATCGCTGTTTAAGAGAGTATACCTACCTATTCATGTGACTATAGCCATGAGCAACTGTTCTTTCAAGCAGTACTTGTAAAGAAAGACAGAGTAAGAAAAATATCCGATATTCATTATTAGACCATGTAATCATTTTAACTTGAATATATGTGTACATATGCTATGGAGCTTGTCCAAAAAATAAGTTGTAAAGCGAATCGTTATACGTTCAAATATGCCTCTTTCACAAAATATGTCATTGTTATAATAAAACCATCCATCCATCCATCTATCCATCCGTTCATCCATTTTCTTCCACTTAACCTGGGAGAAGCAATTATGCGCTGACATCCCTTCGTACAGTAATATTTTCCAACATTTCCTTGGGGATCCTGAGGTGTTTTCCCGGGCAAGGTTGAATATATAATATTTTCTCCAGTGAGCTTGGCTCTTCCCTTGGGTCTCATGGCTGTCGGACTTGCCCATAAATCCTCCAAAGGGAGGTGAAGAGGAGACATCCTTATCATATGCTTTGCTCTAGGCTCCCTCTAGTAGTTACTACTAAAAGGTCACGACCATAGTAAGTAAAACTTTATTTCTAAAGGACTTTTAATACAGTAAGTTACAAAGTGCTTCACAAATAAAAGCGATCAAACTAATCATAAGGATAGAAAATGTACATTAATAAAACACAATGTCAAACAGGGAAAAAAGATCAGTCAAAAAAAAGATACTTAAAACACACAAGAGAGGATTTGGGAGTTACATGAAGAAGACAAGTGTTCACCCTCGTATGCTTGCATGAGGAATATCATTAGTGACCCTTCACAATGCTGTCTCAGAGTTGGAATTGTCAAAGATGTCATGGCCTTCAAAAAATGTTAGAAGTTGTTCAGAAACAAGTTTTTTTAGGCAGAAATGGAAGCTTTGATATTTGTCTGTACTTATCTAAATATGCTGGATGTAGATAGGTTTCTTTAGAAGTGGGTGAATACAAGCAATTTTAAAATAATCAAGTAAAGAGCTAGATATACAGTAAGTGAGCAGTTGATGATAGATAGCATGTTGGGGTCTACCACAGGAAGGACCGATTTTATACATTTTGAAGGGATTGCGTCACAGGACCTGGAGGAGGGACACAATACTTGGCAATAAAAAAAGATTCTGATTCTGCCATATGCACTATTGAGCTGGATAGGGTCTGAGAGATCAGATCAAATCCAGACAGTTGAGCAAGGCAGCTTAATGGGGTGGGGAGAATGACAGTCGGGGGGAATTTTGAATTTTGATCTTGATTAAAGAAAAATTAAAGAAATGTTTCAGGATCCTCAGGAGATGATACAGCAAGAGTAATAAAAGGAGGGTGTATCAGCTGGTTATTAGTATTTAAAAAAGGAACCTCTGGTTTTGCTTATTACCACTGATCAACCCGGAGAAGTAGGCAGCTCTGGTATCTTTTAAATTTTTTGGTCAAATTTAACAATAACTCCTTCATGCGGAGGTGGTGAACTTTATGACTTTTTCCAGGTATGTTTAGCCTTTCTAAATTCCCTTCTGGGTTGCACACATTATTGAACCATTTAATTTAGTCATTAATATTGAGTTAGAGAGGAGTGCTATTGGCCATACTAGAAAAGTAGGTAGAGAAAATGGATAAAGACTGCTCAGAAAAAATGCGGAAGTGAAATGTAAGTTTTTGGGTTATCTTAGTAATGAATGAAGAAGCACACAAAGTAATACATTTATCGTTGGATACAAAATCCAACTCGTTCAAAGAGTTGAGGGTCATAACCGGAGTAAAAACAAGGTCAAGAGTGTTCCCATCATTGTGTGTTGGCCAGAGACATACTGTACAAGATTAAAATATATTGAATATTTAAGAAATCAGAGGGAAATGAGTTTGAGGGATTTTCGATATGAATGTTAAAATCTCAAGAAATAGCTTTATCAAATTGAAGCACATTAGTTTGAGAATTTATGAGAAAACTAAAATTTTAATTATAAGCTTTATAAATAATTCCACAGCAAATGAGGGTAATCACACACAATTTTAAAATAAGTGATTTAAAACTGTTAATGGAACTGAAACTGAGTGGAACACAAGTGAAGTTATCCTTTAAAACAGCTGCACCCCAACATGGCCATTTAACCATGACTCATTTAGGTAAGTATGGCCGATTGAGCAGTGCTCCACTAGAGGACAGCACATTCCTGGTTTAAGTCAAGTCAAGTGTTGGTGAGGAAGAGGAAATCAAGGTTTTGGGTTGTAATGAGATTGTTAAGAATAAAGAATTCATTAGCAACAGTGTGTCAATTTAAGTGCAAAAGACAGCTGGGCTACTGGAATATGGGTCTTAGCTTAATTGGAATTTTTACAACAGATATGAATCAAATTATTTGACATGGCAGTTGAAGCCATGGTGTGTGAAAGCCTAGTTCCAATTCTAAGAGGAATGGCATTTGGATCGATGATTGTTCAATGCTAACGCTGCACACATTCATCCGTCCAAGACATAATCCATTTGACCCTAACTCATGAGACAATACCATGAGATGCTTTAACACCTTTGCTTTAGGCAAACATTTCCCAACCAGAGGGAGCAGTCAACCATTTTCCTGTGAAGCATTAAGGCTTCAGACTTAGAAATACTGACATCTCGAATGCTTCATACTTGGCTACAAATGGCCCCAGTGCCTGCTGGATGTCACAGTTTGATGAAGACAACATAACTCCATCTGTTAAAGACCGAGATACAGTTCTGGGCTCCCCAAAACGGATACTGTTCTGCCCCTGGTTGCACCCTAAAATCCTGTCCATAAAAACTACTCTCAGAACCCATAAATGGGGTCAACCATGTTGAATGGCTGATCTCAGCTCCTATGACCATTCCGTAAACCTTGCAAGACTTAAGAGGTGGTCTTGATCTGCATTATTCCTGTTAAACTGGCCTCATTCCAATTACCCTGGAATAATCTTTGCCTGCAAGGCTAAGTTGCGTGATAGCCCAAATGTTGGAGCACACTCTCTTGTCCTCCTTTTCAGAAATACAGAGGTTTCCTCTGTAGCTTTGGACAAAACCTGTGATCTTGGATGTATTGGTTTAGTTGAGGAGTTCCTTAAGGTGTACTGTATTTGCCTCGCCTCCTAAAGACAGCCAAGCCCTCTTACCCACTCCAGAGTTATCTAAAAGTTGCCTGAACCTCCACGGGCCAACCGAATGTCTTATCCATAGCCTTCCAGAATCTCTTCCACACCAGGTTCCTTTTCCACAATCAAAGAAGTCATAACCATGCTAGCCACCCAGTACCGATCCACCCCGAGGAGACCCTTGGGCTAACCAAGTCCTGAAGGCCAACTTCTTCAAGCTAAACACTTCCTACACTGCTGATGTCCACCAACAGGTTTTGTTGCCACAATGGCAGCCACAAGTCCAAGCATCTACTTTTACAATAGAGGCTCTGATTTTGGCCCTCTCAGATTCCTTGTCCAAAACCTCCTCCTGGATGCACCACAATAATTCTTCTCGGAGAAGCATCTAGGGTGGAGACGTCTCATCCTCAGGTTACCTACATGTTTAAGTTTACCAGGTCAGTCTTGCAGCTCCCGTCAAAATCTGATCCTACTCAACACCAGGTGGTAATTAGTTAACAGCTCTGCCCCTTTTATACCTGAGTGTGCAGGTCTGACAGCTGCATTTGGAAATATGTGACAACATAGATATCCGGCCTACGGTGTTGGGGTACCAGGTGGACTCAACCTGTGTTCTATCATTGTGTTTGGCATGGCAAACCCATGTTTAGCCCAGAAGTCAAGTCTAGGAAATAGTTGTTGTCCTATACAAGACAAGCTGATTCTATTCTGACTTTATTTTGACTGCTTCAAATGGGGATTATGAATTGTGTTAAATGTGGACTGTTGTGGGACACTGGGACTTGTTCGCCTTTGGAAACCAAACCACAGATTATTGACCCCGGCAACTCAGCTCCAGGCTTCACAGACATTTTTTCAAGATTATTTTTGGGGCTTTTTGCCTTTATTTGGACAGGACAGCTGAAGAGAGTCAGGAAATGTGGGAGGAGAGTGTGGGAAGACATGCACCAAGAAGCATCAGGATCAGGTGTCAAATAGCATCGGGATTGGGTGGAACCTGCAAACAGTGCAATTGGGTGCCTGCTCTACCAACGGAGCTAAACCAGTGCCCTGATGTATTATTTCAGTTTCTGCATAATCAACTTTATTTTTGGCAGAAAGCATTTCTTTCTCTTACGGACTGATTGTTGTGTTTTGCCAACAAAATTACACGTTTCTTTTGTATTAGCTGTGACAGATTTTGGTGCTTCATAAAGTTATTAATGAAAGAAGGGGAAACAAAACAAGTCTAGAATGCAGACAGTAACAATCAGTAGTCTACCTCAGTAGCTTGACCATCTCTCCACTGTCTTCTTTCATCTCCCGTTCAGCATTTTCTGTTTCCTGTTATCTTCTTGTTCTTGGTGCATGCTACTGTGGCATGAGGGTTCTGAATGGCTATGCAGTTATGGATGTGTCTCACTATACCAGTCCTCTTTTTCAGGGCAATGTGCAGTCACAGGTCATCACCTTTGTTATGTCTTTCACAGCATGTCTCTGTGATATACAAGGTTGTCTCTGAGTCCTTACACTGTGCCTTCTCCTGTCTAAAGCATTTTGGCTCACCTAGTCAATGAAAAAATAACCCCCCTGGCACATGTTCCACAGCTTTTTGTCCTTGTATTTCTAGCTTTGTGCACAATCCTAGCCCAGTGCTAGGTATCTAGCTTTGCATGGCATCGTGTGTTAGCTTAGATGTGTCTTTGTAAAGAGGGATGTTCTCTTTTTTCCAGCAAAGATGTCACGGAAATTAAGCTTGCCTACTGAGCTAAAGCCAGACTTGGGTAAGCCCTGACTTTGTGTCTCAGACAATTTGTATGGAAATGCAGTATATCTTTCTCACTTTAACTGGACTCCACCACATCCCATCAGTCCAGTTTCATCTGGTTTTTAGCCTCAAAATTGGCAAGCTGTGTCCCCTAAGTTTGCATGAAACAAAAGTAGCACTGATCTGACCAGAATTTAAATCCACTTAGCTACATCAAAGCATTGGAATTAAATTCATTGTGAAATTTTTCTGCTGTGTTTTGAATCCCACTTTTTGACCTTGGTGGGAGCTCTTCAGGTCAGTGGTGCTAGGCTTAACTATGCACACTTCATCTATCGGTAAAGCTTTCTTTAACTTTTGCAGCTTTCTCTCTCTCTCTTTTGTGTTCTTCATGTCTTTTCTTTATTTTGTTGTCTGATTGGTCCCTTTAAAATTTCCCCAACGGAATTATTTTCCCTTTTGAACAAAGAAAATGCCATTTCCTTCTTCAGAGGTTTACAAGTATCAAAAACACTTCTTGATCTATAAGGGTCTAATTAAATGTGCGAGTGCCAACCCACGTAATTGTTCTAGTGTCATACACATTTAACCAAAGTGCCTGATAGCTGGTTATGATACTCTAACAAAATTGATGAACTAGTTTCCAGGTAATGCTGCTCTGTCAACCAAAAAAACATGAGATGGGATGATAAAGATAGACTACCACTCAATACATTTTATAGATAGCATTGATACAAGACTGGTTACATCTTAAGATTGCTGTAATATTTAACACCTGATGTATCTAACAAAAAAGTGATTTACTAACACGTTTTATAAAGCTGTTTTGTCTTTTATCATTTTATTTTGAATGTAAAAGAAAGCGTCAATATCTGTGTTGTCTGTCTCGTGTTTTTCTGCTTAGCGGGTGCTTTACCTCTCTCCGTTTTCTCCTCACTGTCCTCCTGTCTGTATGCCCGCCGCGGGGTGCCAACCCATTAGACCACCGGGATAATTCATTCAGCCGCTCACGCTCCTCCAGCGTCACCAGCATCGACAAGGAAGCTCGAGAGGCCATCAGCTGCTTCCACTTCTTTGAGACCTTCGCCCGCAAGGGGGACAGCACTTTGACACCCTGCCTGTATGTGGGCACTTCCCTGGGAACCGTACTGGCTTTAGCTCTCACATTGCCTCCTGCTGGGGAGCAACGGCAACTGCAGCCAGTTATTATTTCACCTACTGGTGGGTAATGGAATGGACAAAATGCAGTTCAAATTAACCAATTACAATGTGCTAAGTGTCCAACAATTCCTGTTCCAAATGTTCTCCTTCCATTCTTCAGGCATGTTGGTGCGGTTGAAGGGTAGCAACTTGCGGATGGCTTTTCTGGACTCTACAGGTGCCCTGCTTCCCCCTGCCTTTGAGCCTTGGTTTGAACCCAATGTAACGGCAGATGGTGAAGAAAGAGAGAAGGTTCGAAAGCGCCGGCCCGTCTCAGTGTCCCCTTCAACCTCCCAGGACCTCAACGAGAGCCAGTATGCAGTGGTGTGTTCAGAGAAACAGGCCAAGGTCCTTTCCCTCCCCTCCCAGACCTGCATCTATAAACACAGTATCACAGAGACCTCCTTTATCCTGCGGGCAGATGTGGTGCAGATGAGCCAAGGCGTGTGTGTGGCATGTTTCTGTGCCAACGGACACATCATGACCCTCAGGTGAGAGAAATGTCCATCTGCGTCCAGCAGAAATAACAGGGATATATTAAAAAGCATCAATCAAAGTCAGTTCGAAAAAGTGTTGCCACCTTCTCTTGTGCCCTCTTTGTCCTTAAAAGAAACAATCCTGGAGGGTAATTATGTTTTGTGAATATTTGAGTATAAAACACTTTTAAGTACAGAGGTGTTTGGATATGAAGGAAGTGCAGTGAAAACTAGCTAACAAAAGTGCTAGGGTAGGTCACAACAGAGATGGAAGCTTGGCAACAATATGAGCCTTCTGAGCAAACAGATGGACTTTAGAGAACTGGAATTAGGCTGTAAAAATGTCTATTGTCTATTAGAAACTTGGAATCAGCTCAGTGTTTAAGAAAGAAAGTAGAATTTTCCCGTGTTATTCAAACAAAGTCGAGACAAATTTTAGACCTCATTACCACATGCACCCATCATAAGAGCTAAAACCTTCAACCATACACCCCCACTAAACTTTGAACAAAGTTTGACAGTACCTACAAATTTACAGGCATATACACGCACACACACATGCAGACATAGCATGGTTATTTTTATTTAGCGTGTTGAGGGGTTTTTGTTAGAAGGGTTTATTAGTCTGTCACTGATCCTCATTAATCTTCTCTCCCCTCAAGGAGAGAGACGGAAACAGAACATCCATCCATATGGGTGTCTGACAAAGCAAGGGTGTCCTGCTGTCTGCTGTGTGTGTGTGTGTGTGTGCGTGCGTGCGTGTGCGTGTGCGTGTGTGTGTGCGTGTGTGTGTGTGTGCACGCATGTGTGTGTGTTTCTTGTGTTTGTGTGCCTGTTTAGGAATCACGAGTAAGAGAACACTGTCCCTAATGTTTCAGGAGGTTAACATTTGCCATTCAAAACGTTCTCTCCAATGTAGGGATCATTTATCTATCTTTATGTGCTGACCAAGGCTTCATTATAAAAGGCATAAAGTCCTTTTAAGTTCTGTAGATTTTAAATCACATCCTTCACTGTTTTGTCCCCTGTCTAGTTTGCCGGGGCTGAGACCGCTCTTGGATGTAAACTACCTGCCCTTGACGGACATGCGGATAGCCCGGACGTTCTGCTTCACCAACCTGGGTCAGGCCATGTACCTCTGCTCCCCCACCGAGATCCAGAGGATCACTTACAGCCAAGACATCTGTGAAAACCTGCAGGTCAGGCAACTCAGTCTAATGCATATGGATTAAAGATACTGCATAGGAAAACCTTTCAAAATAAGACAGACAGTTGAGATGAACATGCAAAACAAGTCAAAGTAATAACTTTGGGGACATGCATACTAAGAGCTGTGTATTTGTACACACAGTATAATTGGATATGTAAGGGTAATGTTTGTGTTGATGTTTCAGGAGATGCTGGGCGAACTTTTTACACCAGTGGAGACACCAGAGGCACCAAACAGAGGGTTTTTCAAAGGTCTCTTTGGGGGCGGAGCTCAGTCACTGGACAGAGAGGAGCTGTGTAAGCCACACCTACACAGGTCAAGATACACATTGGTTCAGTCCTTTGATGTTGCATAACACTTTCCTAAAAAATCTCTGTTTGTTGTTCCTCTTATTGTCCTTACTCAGTTGGTGAGATATCATCTGGAAAAGCATCCCGAAGTCTGGCACAGCACATCCCAGGCCCGGGCGGCATCGAGGGCATGAAGGGGGCGGCCTCCGGCGTGGTTGCAGATCTGGCACGAGCCCGGATAGCATTGGATGAAAGAGGCCAGAAACTGGGCGAGCTGGATGAAAGGACAGCTGCCATGATGACCAGCGCAGATTCCTTTTCCAAACACGCCCATGAGGTAACAGAAAAAGTTTACAAGATTGAGAAGAGAACATGAAAACCCCATTTGACTTCACAGCATGGGTACCATAGCTGCTCAAGCTTATTCACATAAATATACAAGTGCTGGCTTAAATTGAAAGTCTACTGAGCAATTATCTTTGAAGTCTAGGAGACATTAGTAATGACAGACTCATTGTGCTTATATTACCATCAGAGTGAAACACTGTATGTAGTCTTGAATACTGGCTGACCTGCTTCCTATTCAGAAATTAATTCAGAAATAGTATTGTCTATTCTCCCACTAGAGGGCACTCTATGCCCAAGGAATGTTCACATTTATGTTGAGAGGGACACTTCTATGTCTGTTGTTGGGTTACATGTTTCCTGCAATGTTTATAAAGTGAACATTTGACTTCATCAAATACATTTGTATCCATGTAAAGATTACTTCAGTAATAACAGGTGGATTAACAGCCAATGAGAGACTTGGGTCCATACCATTGGTAGCAAAAACAACAGGATATTATTTTTAAATGATGAACAGTTGATTTTACTCCTGTGTAACTTGTATAAAAAAAGTTATTGTTAGGGTGGTGAACAACATCTCTCTCTGTATTGTAAATGTTAAAGACAAAAGATCTGGAGCATGTACCTTTAGAGTATAGAATATAGCATAAGAAGGCAAACAGTTTTAACTTCAGAGACCAGGCCAAAATCCTGGCGCAGCGCTTGCTTTAAATCTGCAAAATAATCTTGTTTAACTTTTATTTATGCACTTTAGTTAGACCTGAGGTGTCCCTCTAACATTGAACCATGTTCTCACTCCAATGTTTTTCTGTTTCCAGATGATGCTGAAGTGCAAAGACAAGAAATGGTACCAGTTCTGATCCACGACAGGAAAGGAGCAATGCTCCACAGACACCACTGTCATCTTCCGTCCGGCTCATTTGGACTCACCGTGACCCCCCCCCCCCCCCCTCCACCTGCCCATCCATCTGTCCATTCGTCCCATCCCTCCAAGCCTTCTTCGCTGGGACATTTGGGATTTTCTTCCCTAGCACAATGTTAAACACTGTTCTTACCTCAGTCTAAGGGTGGAACTGAGGAGTGGACAGGGGAAAAAAGGCAACCTCAAAAAGGGAGCATATAAATGGTGTCTTTTTTTTTTCTTTTTTCTTTTTTACGTTGTCGTCTCTTTGTTTATCTCTGTTCAGCCTCTCCTCCGAGGAAGCCGCCTGGCACACGCACCTGGAGATTTCTTCATTCTCATTTGCCAAAACATCCTTTACTGTCATCCGAGCCTCGAGCCCATTGTGGGCCCAGAGCTCAAACCGATGAACACACAGCTGAAAAGAGACAAAAACCTTAAGAGGAAAACAGACTTTAAAAAAAATTCTTAAAATGTAAAAAGAAAGAAAAAATAATCTAAATACATCATTATATATACATAAATCTAATAAATGTGCAAACGCTGTATCCACTTCCGGGGGGACAAGTAGTAAAGAAAAGGAAAACTTGTGGAGGAGACATGAAGGAAGTGCTGCGACAGTGACGCCTTCTCTATGCAGAGAGTCACAGGGATTAAAGCAACTTACTCCTATGTAAACTGGATACTTCACTTTAGACTCTCCTCTGTATCTTACAGACTTTCATATCGTTACCAACAGTGTGCGTGCGTGTGTGTGTGTGCTAACTTCTATTTTCTTGCCATTCTCTATTTGTTATTCGTTGGGTTTTCTCTCTGTCTGTATTATTGGAAAATCTCTTATTTTTCTATTGTTGTGAAAGTGGATGATGTTTGATTTGTTGAAAAATCTGTTTTTGTGGCTTTTTGTCTAACAACTCGAGTTTATCTTCTCCTTATGAAAAGGGCTGGAATCTAAATGGAGGGCAAGGATATAAAAGGCATATGTCATTTAGTTCTTACTGACATGGCAACATCAGATTCCTTGAATCTGAACTTAAAGTGTGTCACACACATTATTGTTTACCATGAATTGATCTATGTGATGTTAACCGCCTCTGTCGACTTCTTAATGTCGGACGCTTCCACAGTTTGGCTCTCTCTCTGAGCGTGACTTTGAATGCTAATGTAATCAGTGTTAAATCCACCGATCGGTGAGCCAATTCTGTGGGATTTCAGAGGTTTTCAAATGAGTAAACATCTGTATGGAGACTCAAAAAAACACATGGATAGAAATATCCATGTGTTTCATATATGCAGGATAATAGAAAAAAAGAAAGTGTAAACCTTTAAAGGCATACATCAGAAACACATTTCAGTTCTTTGATTGTCTGTATGAGCAAGTTGTCTGTGTGATTTCTTTGTCGATATTTATTTATTGAGGTGCAAGAAACAGTTGTTTTAGGTGTCAGAAACCTTCATTACCTTGTTTTGACTCCCATGTTTGCAGTAAAGCTCAAATGTGGTGTATCTCTCTGTCTACCAGGCTTTTAAACCTTTATTTGTATATAAGTAAATAGTTTGACAATCTAAGACCAACCGGAAAGTACAACGTTGAGGGTTGCTCAAGCAACAGAAGAGGAGAGAGGCCATATTTTTTCTGACGCCAAAGAGTTGCTTTAAACTTTTTCATTGCATTCTCATTTAACCCATCACGCACAACAGCAGCATATTAATAACAGCTTCTCACATTGGAGTGCAAGCCCAGGATCGAATCCACACAGGACCATTTTCACCCTCATCATCTTTGGAATTTGAAGACATGGAGCAAGTTGCAATGGAACGCAGCCATTTATAGTACTACTGTATCGCATTATGTCATGAAAAATGTAACATTTGGACTAATGTTTAATGTTTCAAGTGGCCTAACTGTTGGTTAAATAATAAGGATGTTTCCTTAAGAAGAAAACCTGAACCATTCCACTACAGCTCAGACGCAACAATATTGACTGTGTTCATCTGTGTGTATGTGTGTATGTCTGGGAATGTGTGTGTGTTTGACTCTGTCTGTCAGGGGGTCGTTCAAGTGATTTAATTTATTTGTTTTTGGTTGGTTAATAATTAATATTGATGTCCTAGTCTCACCAGTCTGTGTCCAGTCGAGTGTATGTCCCACTAACTAAAGCCCCCCTCCCCCCCTTAATAATAAAAAAATATAAAAAATAGGATAATGAGCATAAGAGGATGACCTCTGAATTCCAGTTTTTTTTTTAACTTGCACATTTCCAGTCTTGGCACATAAGCTTTGACTCACCTTTGCCTTTGTCTTCTGAGTTCTCTCTTCCTCCAGTGAGTCTTTCATAGACTCTACAGGTTCAACAACAACAAATATGGCCTTCTTTGTGTTAGTGAGCATTGTAGTGTGGTAGCTCTGTCTTTATCCCTCCACAAACTTCAGGAGAATTAGCAAGTTTTGAGCCAGAGGTCATCCCCTCCCCTGAAAAAAACCCTCCTGTATGATGTCTTTCCCTCCGATCCCACTGTTAATTGTGTTTTTCTTTTCTTTTTTTCAATGTTGTTGTTTTTAAATCCATCTCTATGTGATTTGTTTCTCGTCCCTACATTTCAGTATGCAGTATTCTTAACCCGATTCAATCCACATGCTCAAAACAACCAGAGGGAGTCCTGTCTTATATCTGCCGTGCGCCATCTTCTGTCCTGGATTTCACAGTTATCAGTGGGTTGCAGTATTTTTCTCATTGTAGCCAATTTTCTTGTACAGTTTTATGCAACTTTCACATGGATGTTTATGACTTTATCTGCTGCCACAAAAAGTTTAGAAATTCTGTAGATAGAGATTACTGTGCAATGGAAAATAAAAGTGGAAAATGTATTTTTTTTTTGTCTAAAAGTATCTTTAAAAAAAAAAGTAATTGAGTTAAAAATCTGAAGATTTGACTCTGTTCAGATGGGGAAAAGGCTATGATTATACTAACACATTAATTATCGTATGCTCAGATCAGGGTTTGGATGGATTAATTGCTTTAAAGGGTTGCCATATTTGGATCTATACACTAGATGGCAGCAAACACACACAGTTGTCTTCATATGAAATTGGGCTCAATCGAGAATAGATGACCAGACAAAACAATAAGAATAGCTGAATCTTAAAAGCCTTGTTTCATGATTAAAGCACACCTACCATGTCACATTTTAATTGATGTTAATTCACATACACATAATGGATTGAGTGTAAAGTGCTCTTTCTTTTGAAATAAAATAACAAGATATATTACAATGTTCAGTTTGCATCTTCACTGTGAAAGCTTGCTTTGTTAGCTTGTGGTCTGTTGTGTGTTTTTACTGTGTTTGCTTTACTTTTTTTTTAGAGCAACACAATCCTTTATTGATCACACTAAGTGGTTTCCAAATGTGCTCTCTGGTTTCTTCTAATTCATGACACGGGTGACAAAGTGGTCAGCGGAGCTCCTGAAGGTCAGCCTTTTCCCGGTAATAAGAGATTTCGTTACTTTTTGCTGGTTTTTCTAGCAATTACACACTGGCAAAGTTAAGTGACCTCCCCAATGAAGATTTTTTTGTGTTGTTGTATGCCACTACAAACATAGTAATCATCTTAGAGGCTTTCTCTAGTTTTTCCACTGTATCTCAGTAAAACACTACCATTAGCAACCTAACTCTTGAATCTGGGATACAGTTGTCCTCATCTCAGCCCAAGCTGCCCACTGAGGTCACTGAGTTCACCCAGGACTGTGTAAGCAGTGACTTATGGTGTGGATCAATTACTGCCGGAATGAAAGAGGCTCACAGCTTGCCTGATTTCCTGTAGAAAGAAAGATTTACATACTGGAACCTTCCATTGTGACTCAATGCTTACATGCTTTATAGGTGACTCATGGTAGCCAGAATGTAAACAATCACCAAGACATGAAAATGCCAGACAAACAGGATTAAAGAAATATGGACATAGAATTTTGTTTTATTCTTATGTGGTTACTGTTTTTTTTTTTTAATTTTTGCAAATATAACTATTGACCAATGACTGGAGGGATAAAACAGATAATTACTACTTTTTTCCTTGTAGGTATGTAATGATCAATAAAACTAAGCAGATATAGAATATAAATAGTCCCTAGGGCCTAACTGTTTAACTAAGTCTGTAAAATGTCATCTAGTCTGGAAATCGGGTTGAACTACATGAGGAAAACCAGAACTGTGCTCTTTCTTATTGCCAACATATTAACAAGTAATCATGTTCTTCCTCCTTTTTCAAAACAAAAAAGTTTTTTTTAGTTTTTTTTTTACTTGTTTGCAGTATAACGGTTTCTTTAGAAGATTTATGTGCAAAACAAACAGTTAAAATTCATGATTCATTAAGAACATTTTATGTATGTGGAAACTTACACAATAAGGAAGTATTTCTATAGTAAGATATAGAGATAAAAAATGGTTTTGGATCCCCTCCTCCTTCTCTTTCTCCTTCAGTACATAATGAATGGGGTTTGTGGTATCTCATCACTCCTCTTTTACATAAACCAAGCTATCAAACAAAGTGGCCTCATCATTTTATCAAGCACATGAACATGTGTTTTTAATCCAAGATAAGCTTCTGTTGCTGTGAGAGGCTGAGGGGTGAGTTAAAGGAGAGACTCAGACAGAAGGAGGAACATTGGTTAGGCTATGAAAACAACACAGTGTTGATTTGCTCAATTTGGCTGATGCCACGAAAGAGAAGGTCACCGAGGAGAAATGTTTGTTGATGCGTAGTGTTTGAACTACTGACCTCGTGCACACATGCACAGGCACATACAGATATAGGGTAAAGCCATCCAGAGTGCAGCACAGCAAAGGACACGTCAGTGTGGCTGTTGCCGTGGTGACTGAAAGTATGAATGACCTGAGCCATTTCAGCCATGGTAGGAACCAGAATGACACCTGAGGGAATGCACAATGAACAGTTTTAAAGCTGCCTTAGTAACAGAACATCTGAATGTTTGATGTGTATTTTTCTTTCTATACACTATTTGAGAAGATTAAACATTAAACTGTGTCTTTAAATATCATGAGACAAATATTGTAACCTGTTTTTTTTAATGATATAGCCTAATCTATCATGTGAAATACTGATGCTCCCTCTGCAAAAGAGAGAAAGCAATCCAGTTTCATGACATGAATGAAGAAGAATCTGTTAAATT